GTCAGGAGGATGGGGCCAGACTCTTTTCAGTGGTGCCCAGTGACAGGACAAGGGGGAACGGGCACAAACTGAAGCAGAGGAAGCTCCAGCTGAACCCGAGGAAGAACTTCTTCCCTCTGAGGGTGACGGAGCCCTGGCCCAGGCTGCCCAGGGAGGCTGTGGAGTCTCCTTCTCTGGAGATATTCCAGCCCCGCCTGGACGCGGTGCTGTGCAGCCTGCTGTGGGTGACCCTGCTTGGGCAGGGGGTTGGGCTGGGTGACCCACAGAGGTCCCTGCCAACCCCAAACATTCTGTGGTTCTGTGATTCTGTGATTCTGTTGGTTCTCCAGGCCGGCTGCTTGGAGCAGCATTTGTGCTACTCAGGATTCGTACAGCAGATGTTGCAGGGAAGGAAGAGGTGTGTTGCACCGTTTCAGATGCACAAAGCAGCAAAACCGATCTGCTTGGAGTAGTAAAGCCAGGTACCGCATTCAGTGGTTGCTGGAGTACCCTAGCAGCGTCGTTTTCCTCCCTGCTTTCTCTAGGTCAGCCTTGGTTATACAAAGCCGCAGAACCTGTGGAGGGAGTAGAAGCAGCTGTAGGACTGGTCTGAGAGTTGAGCGCAGGCTGGGCAAAGAGAGACTGGTGCTGTCCTCCTCACCCGTGCTGTGCCCTGGCTGGGTGCTGGGTGTGCGTGATCCAGGAAAAGTGCAGCTGGTGAATTTGAAAGGACCTGTGAAAGTGGAATGAGAACGTCCCCTCAGAGAGGAAAATGTTATCTACACCTGGGGAAAACTTGAAGTTAAAAGCCATAACTGAGAATTCCAAAAGATGTGCCTCGTGATAAAAAGGGAACATATGGAATAAGTTACCAAGGGAAACCATAGAAGTGAATTTTATCAGTGAGTTAAGAAAAAAGAAAAAGAGTTTTTTTGACGTTGAGAGAGAAAATGGAATTTTTTTAAGGTTGTGATGGGGTGACAGAGCTACAGAGAAATCCAAAGGAGGCAAGTGCCTCATTTTATGAGGCAGTGTCTCTTTCATGGTTTGGATGGTTGCAGGAGGTTAAAGCGTGTTGTATGGACTGGCTTCACGCAGAGCTGGTCAGCTGTGACGGGCCAGGCAGCGCTGTGAGAGACAGGCTTGCCTTCGTGCGTCAGCTCTGAGAGTTGGTGACAGCGACAGGGACCCGCGTCTCTCTGTCGAACAGAGGTGTGCCTGGCAGGCTGCCCTGTTCGTTCCTAAGGGGGGTGAAAAAAGCCGATGGCTTTAAAATCAAGTAACACAGTCACAACGTATCCTTAGAAGACATCTCTTGACAGGGCTGCTGTTCCTAGGGCAGACATCTAATCTCCGTTTAGTCCTGGTTTTCCTCCATTGTTGCCTTGCCCCTAGCAAGGGGGGGGTTGATCAAAACAGGCAGCCGCCTCCTGTGATTGCAGAGGGTGTGGGGAGAGGTGCCAATCTGTCTGCAGCTCCCAGGAAATCCAGTGTGTTTTGTTGTCTGAGCTCAGGTGGATCAGTGGTTCTAGATTTTCCTGACCTCTTGAGATTTGGCCCCGTCCCTGCATCTGCTCTTCAAAAGAAATAATCGCACTGGCACTGGGTGTCTCTTTGGCGGTTCCTGTGAATTCCTTTTCCGTCCTGTGTTACGCTGCATAGTGGAACTGGTGTTTATGGGCGTTGAATTTACACACACGTTTTGGCAGGTAATTAGACATGTCGGCGGGTGGTTAGGTGTGTCTGACTCCGGGAATAAAGGTGCCAGTGTAACATGACTCCCATGCTTGAAGTTTGGTGTCAAATGAGAAGATTTGTCAACCATTGTAAGAATTAAAAGAAATCTGCTGTGGCTGTGCTCACACTACTGACCATTCCAGGTGTAGCGTGGCTTGCTGCCTGCTTACCGTGTGCAGGGGGAAGCGGAAAAAACAGGTGAAAGAAATGGTCCTCAAAGATTCTCTTCCTTGCTTGGGAGGTGTCTTTCGCTGTCTGCAAGGGGTTAAAACTGCCCCTCGGTAATGGAGCAGGACTCAGGCCTGGCGTTTTTCCTCCCTTCAGCCTGGGCTCTGTACCCAGTGTGTTTGTAGACTTTGTGGTTGCTGAAATCAAAGCTGCAGACGCAGTCGCATAACTGAACGCTGCATGAATTGCTACACTGTGTGTGGTAGTTTAGTGGGAATGTGTCATATCAATTCTGGCTCTTGTATAAACAATTAGGCTTTGGCAGTGTGTGTTGCAGCTTGATTGGAAAAAGCTCCTGATAAATGAAATTACTATGTTTCATTTCATAATTATGCTAGGATTTTTAAATGGCCACAACATGCTTTTTTTTAAAAAAAATGGAAGAAACCTGATATGCTGTTGCGACATAAGGCCAATGTGGTTGTGTCTGACTCTCAGGAACAATTTCCATCTTTCTCTACTTTTAAGGCAGATAAAGGGTAGCCGTATGTATGTGTTTATATCTATACAGATATATGTATGCATGTTCTGGATACTCCACGTAGCAGTAGTGCAGGTAGGTGTGTGTGGAATCTCCTTTGCTCACACAGGGTTCTGTACCTGAGAGGCAGCTCTCAAGTGGGAGGAATGGAGCCCTGTCAGACCAGTGCCAGAGCTGCTGAACTTTCCAGTATGTGTCAAATAGAAAAGTCAGTGATTTGTGGACGGGTAAACACAAATCATGCCCGGGTTGTGGATTATCACCAGTCCCCCACTTTGTCTGTTCTTCTCTAGCCATTGAGTCTTTGTCTCGCCGGCTGTTGGCATTTCATCGATTTTTTTTTGG